TAAAGTAATCAAACTTGTCTCTTGTCAGTCCCTTTGTAAGTATATCTGCTGTCAGTTCGTTTGAAGGAATGTATCTTAGGTGAATTATTACTCCGTCAATCTTTTCTCTTACGAAATGCTTGTCTATTTCCACATGCTTTGTTTTGTCATGTTGGATTGGATTATAGGAGATATCAATGGCAGCCATGTTATCTGAATATAGTTTGATAGGTAGATTTATGTTCTTCTTCAATTCTTCCAGTACCCTTTTTAGCCATATGCCTTCGCATATACCAAGTGTCACTGCCCTGAACTCTGCTTTTGCACTGTTCCTTGCCACTACACTTTGTTTCTTGCTCCTCCAATTAACAAGATTGCCCCAAACAAAGGTGCAATAGCCTGATGTGGACTTCCTATCATCTTGGTCACCTGCCCAGTCAGCATCTGTGAATATCTCAATTGTTTTCTTATCGGATTTCTTGAATAACAGCCCACGACCTGGGGATCCCTTCAAGTATCTAAGAATTTTGTAGACTTTATTAAGATGTTTCTGCTTAGGATCATCTGAGTGCTAGCTAACCACACTAATTGCTAAAGCGATATCTGGTCAGGTATGGGAGAGGTATATGAGTTTTCCCACCATTCATTGATACTTTCCCATATCCACAGCTTTACCAAGATCCCCTTTATCACTGATGTTATCAACTCTCATAGGTGTATCACTTGGTCTACAACCCAGCATTCCTGTTTCCTTCAAGAGGTCTAGGATATACTTTCTTTGAGAGATATAAATCCCTTTCTTTCATTGAGCAACTTCCATCCTGAGAAAATACTTCATTTCCCCGAGGTCTTTGATTTGGAATTCCAGGGCCAATGCAGTTTTAATTTGTTCTATTTCTATCACATCATCCCCTGTGAGTACAATGTCATCAACATATACTGCTAGAATAGTTGTTTTTTCCTTTTTATGTTTGAAGAACATGGTATGATCGCTTTGCCCTTGTGTGTAGCGCTGCTTTTTGAGTACTTTGGTGAATCTTTCAAACCATGCTCTCAGAGATTGCTTTAACCCATACAGCAATCTTCTTAGTTTGCACACCTAGCCTGGTTTCTTCCCTGGGAACCCTGGAGGTAGTTTCATGTAGACCTCTTCCTTGAGTTCTCCATTGAGGAAGGTATTTTTGACATCCATTTGATGTAAAGGCCAATCTAGGTTAACAGCTAGTGATAATAAAATTTTGATTGTGTTTAATTTTGCCACCGGTGCAAAAGTCTCTGTGTAGTCCTTGCCATAGGTTTGTGAGAAACCCTTGGCAACCAGTCTTGCTTTATACTTTTCTAGGCTTCCATCGGCTTTATACTTTGGGATGAACACCCACTTACATCCAACTGGTTTCTATCCCTTTGGTAGATTTACCACTACCCAGGTGTTATTTTTCTCAAGGGCTTCCATTTCCTTCATAACTGCCTGTCTCCACTCATGTAGGGCTAAGGCTTCATCAATGTTATGTGGTACCCTAACATTGTCCAGTTGAGCAATGAAGGCATGGTATTTTGGAGAGAGAGCCTTATATGAGACAAACTTTTCTATGGGATGTCTAGTGTAAGATCTTGGCTTCTTTCTAATTGCAATTAGAACGTCAAGATTTTCTGGTGCCTCTTTTTTTGGTATATTATTATTGAGTTCCATACCTCGCTCTTCTATTGGATTTGCCTTTAGGTTTGACTCTTGGCAAGTGCTAGGAGCTTGTGGTACGTCACCTGTTTTTGGCCTTTGTGTATAGGTCTTTACTGACATGTTTTTGTCTCCCCTTGGATTAGATTTTTCTTGAACACAGAGTATAGAGGGTACAGATTCAGTGTTGTCATGGATGGGCTTAGTTGGTGAGGTGTCAAGGTTTAGTAAGGTGTGGTCAACAAAGGTTTGTTCATGGGGTGAAGGTGGTGGTGGTGTTGGCGATGGTGATGCTGGTGTTGGTTTCTCATAAGTCTAGAATTCACTCTCACTCTCCCCTTGAATGACAGACTGCTGATAGAACGATGTGGTCTCATGGAAGGTGACATCATAAGTAATAAAGAGGCGTTTGGAGACAGGATCATAGCATTTGTACCCTTTTTGAGATGAAGAGTAGCCAAGAAAGATACAACGCAGTGCTTTGGGGTCAAGTTTGCTAGAATGATGGAGATGGACATAGGAGGTGTAGACAAAAATCTTGAGGGGTAAGGTATTTTCCAGGTATGGGAGATTGAAATGTTGATGAAGAACTTGGCGTGGTGTTTTATAGGACAAGGGTTTGCTAGGTATGTGATTAATGAGGAAAGTAGCAGTGAGGACGGCATCATCCCAATGGAATTTAGAAACATGACTGGTAAACATGAGTGCCCTGGTTGTTTCAAGTATGTGGCAATTTTTTCTTTCTGCAATTCCATTTTGTTGGGGACTATTAGGACAAGTGCTCCTATGGACTATACCGTGCTCAGTGAGGAATATGGATAGTGTTTGATTAAAGTATTATATGCCATTGTCTGTGTGAAGAGTCTGGATTGGCGTTTGGAATTGAGTTTTGATCATGTTGTAAAAGTTGACAAAAATCTGAGGAACTTCTGTTTTTTCTTTCAATAAATAGACCTAGCTTGCACATGTGTGATCATCAATAAAGGTGATAAACCATTTGGGGTGCGAGAAGGACCCCACAAATCGCTATGGATGGTAGTAAATGGTTGTGAAGCACGGTAACGATGGTGAGTGAAAGAGGTGTGATGATGTTTAGCCTTTTCGCAAGAGTCATAATGAAATTCAAAAAGATCTTTATTAGAAAAAATGGATGGAAACATTTGAGACATATAATGGAAATTGGGATGTCCTAACCGTTGGTGCCATAACTCCAATTCACTAATCCTAGGGAGAGACACTTTATTACAAGACTTAATATGTTATGGAGGATCATCATCAAGGTAATAAAGACCATCGTACTCATTTGCACTGCCAATCATCATCCTCGTCAGCAGATCCTGAAATAAACAATGAGTGGCATAGAAATTAGCATGACAGCGTTCCTCCCCAGCCAGTTGACTAACAAATAATAAATTGCATTTCAGATTTGGCACATGTAAGACATAATGAAGAGCTAATGAAGTGGAGACCTTTACAATACCAATTCCAGCAACAAAAGAATCAAAGTCATCAGCAATCTTAATTGTGAAGCGGTTAGTCATAATAGTGTAAGAAGAGAATAGAGACCGGTTATCGATCATATGATTAGACGCACCTGAGTCAACTATCCAGCAGTTCCCAGAGCATTTACTTTTAATAGATTTCAAGGCTGTTAAAAAATTACCTCTTCTTACAACAGTGGCAGTGGGTTGTTTGGAAGGTTGCTGACTTGTTTGCATTATTGTGCATAATTCAATGATTCTGTTTAATGGGTCTTCTTGAGATGTGGAAGCACTGTCCGAGTCACCTCCCTTTTCAGTAACGTAGCCTCTGTTTCTAGGTTTTCGGGGCTTCCAATCATATGGTTTGCTATGCAGGTCCCAACAAGTGTCTTTGGTGTGACCTTGCTTCTTACAATGGTCACACAAGGGACGACCCTTATTGGGTTTTTGGTCATTTATACGAGCAGCAAGGGCGGAGATTTCAACAGTGGGAACCTGAGAACTGTGATCGTCCTTGAGCATGACTTTACACCTTGATTCTTCTTTCCATAGGAGGGCAAAGGCTTCTCGGACACTTGGCAAGGGTTCGAGGCTAAAAATATGCCCCCTAGCATCATCATACACTGAGTCTAGGCCAGCTAACAGTTCAAATAACCTCTCGACCTCCCTCTCCTTGTGATCAGATGCAGCGTCGGTGGAACAGTGAAAAGTTCGGTGGTTCAGCAGGTCCAACTCCTCACAAAGGGAGGTCTTTTCAAGATAATACTCATGGAGGCTTCGGGAATTTTGTTTCGTGGACTAAAGTTGAGATCGAATCTCAAATACTGGTGAGATGTTACCATTGTCGTCATATGCTTCACGAACTACTTCCCAGATTTCACGTGCAGTTGGGAGGAACATTAAACTCTTCTTGATTGTTGGCGCCACAGCGTTCACCAACCAGGATTAGACCAAGGCATTTTCGGCCTTCCACGTGGCAATGCCTTTGGTGTCAGACGATAGAGGTGCAGCAGTGTCACCGGTGATATGACCCAGTCGACTGTGACCGGCAAGGGCGAGAGACATGGACTGTGCCCATTCTTGGTAATCCTCGCCAGTGAGCTGTTCAGGGACAATGAGGACAGATAAGGTCTCCAAGCTCGCAGTAGCTGGTCGAGACCCATTGACGGCAAAGGAACCTTCGGGACCAGTCGACATCAGATGTGAGGATTCAAGCCGAAGGTTCGACTTGTGGTTGACTTCAGATGAATCAGACAAGTTCTCAGTGTCCAGTGAATGCTCTGATACCATGAAGGACACCGAGAGTGCTGATTCAACTGTGTATTATTCATCTCAATAAGGTATGATTATATACAAGAATGGAGGTCCGCCGAGTTTAATTGTATGACCGAGAATCAAGGGAGGAAATCAGGGAATATGCAATCAGATTTAAAACAAATTCAAGTCCTAATATTTACACACTCAATCCCTACAAAATCGGATTTGGATTCTCACACATTATGCTGGGTTTTATGATGCTGTTTGTGCAATTTGTGATAATGGTGGTGAAATCCTGTTGTATGTCCTTATCATATCTTATCTATGATATAAAGACACACTTCCCTCAGATTACCTTTCCTTATTATTTAGTAATTAAACCTTTGTTATCTTGTGTTAGTATTTTTCTTTTAATGATGCAGTTGTGAAGGGAAATGCCTGAGATCATTCCATGCAACCATATATGTTGGTTTAGATACATGCGAATCTCTTGGCTACACTAAGGCTGAAGTTGATGCAAGCACTCTGTCTTACATATTCAGTGTCCCCTCTTATTGATTGGAATTGTCTTGTGCTAATGAAAGCAAATCTTGCTTTTACAGGCCATCCCAAATTTCTTCTATGCTAATTGTAAGTATAAGCAGCATCAGTGCTTTGTCTGTGGAAAACTGGATTCGTCTGATGAATCTTCTAATATAGAGGTATATTTTAAATCTAATTTATTTCCCCCATTTTATTATGTGTCTTGCTTTTCCACTGTAGGAGGATTTCATATGAAAAACATCCAACGATATATATATAAATTTTATTTTTCATTCTTCACAACTGTTTCTTTGTTTTTTAATATGGTTGATCCTTTAAGAAATTAATTAGTTATAATTTTCATTATAATAGTATTAATATTCAAACTTTTTGTTCAACTTGTTTCTTCCCCTTTCGTATTGGACCCATAAGCTAATAATTTCTCTAAAGATTCTATTTCTTAGTAGCAATAAGTACATATGTTGTGAAAATAGAGATGGTAATGAAGGAATATAGACAAAAGATGGTGTTGCAGGTGTTGAAAGATTCATGGCTTTTAGGATTTAGTCACATGATTGTCTTATGAATATTCAAGAATCTGGAACCTTGAATATCTCTATTCCTGTATTTAGATACCTTTTCTTTCTCTTGCTCTGACTTGTTTATATCTAATTTTGGTTCTTTTTTTCCTTTGGTATCTAGAGTCTAAATATCTACTTGTCCTTTTGTTCTTGAAATTAAACTTGTTATTTGGTTCATAGGTTCATAACATGTAAAAGTAAAGTACTTTGTCGTTTGATTGTAGGTATTCCGTTGCATTGTTTCAACTTGTGGCCATTATTACCATCCAGAATGCGTTGCGAAGTTACTGTCCTTTGGTGTTGATTTTGAAAGAGGAGAAATACGAAAAAATATTGCTGCTGGGAAATCATTCGTGTCCTCTTCATAAATGTTCATTGTGTAGGAAAGTTGAAGATAAGAATGTTCATGACTTGCAGTTTGCAATGTGCAGACTCTGCCCTAAGGCCTGCCACAAGAAGTGCTTACCCAGGTAGTTCTCCCCCTCTCCACCCCCTCTTTGTTATCAATTGTAAATGTTCTTTTTGATTTAGAGGTAAATGTTCTTTTTGGTGCTGGTTTTATATATCAGACTTATTGCATATGTTTATCAATTTTTTCCCAAATTAATCCTCTTGATATTCCCCGAACAATAATCTAGTAAGAGAGGAAGGGAGGGAGGGAATTAAAGAAGATGCTTAGAGTGTTTTTAAAAAAAAATCATATTAGCTAATTTAACTAACATCTTTAATCTGTTCAAATTAGTTAATTAGGTCTTATATTAAGGACCGGAGGAGTATGATAAGAAATCTAAAGATTGGATGTAGAATGCCTTTGTGTTTGCCATAATCTCTCTATCTACATCTACTTTCTTTAAGCAGGGAGATTGCCCTTATGGGTACTGACCAAAGAGCTTGGGAGGATCTACTTGATGGTCGAATTTTGATGTACTGCATGTAAGTTCTTATTGTAATAGTGGTGTTAAAACTGAAGTATGAATACTGCTTGAGATTTATATGTCTCTCACCTTATGCCATATAGTTTGGCGCACATTTAGGGATCATGAGATAGTTCTCGAACTCAGGACTCCAGTTAAAAATCATCTGGTATTTCCTAGTAGGGAAAGAAGAAAGAATGAAGGCCCTTACAATGTACTATTAGGTCAAGAGAGGGTTGCCACTTCATCAAGACAAGAACATATTACTGCTAGAAGAAGAATCATAAATATAAAATTGCCAGAAAAGGTAATAGTGGCAGGCGGTAGCATTCGCAATGGAGGTTCTGCAGAGATTACCAACAAACACTCCAAACAAGATATAAGTATCTTATCAGGATCAATTAGGCTTGATGTAGTTGGAAAATCTTTGAAGGATGAAAAGAGGTTTCTTCCTAGTAATTCCTTTTAAACAGCTTAAAGCAAATCACCTTTGAAAAATGATAACCTATCTTGTAGTTCAAGATTACATCCAGATAGGTTGCCGCAGCAAATATTGTCTGTCTAGTGGAAGAACTGATAAAACCATCCTAGAAAACCCTGTGGTGAAAAAAGCCAAAACGTTATATCAACTTGCCAACAATGATATGAGAAAACGTTATTTTGTTTGAATGTCACATGTTATGCTTTATTTGATAAAATTTACAAATGGTACCTGATGTCATATGTTTTGCTTTATTCGATAAAATTTACAAATGGTACCTGATTTTTAGTTCAATTGCTTCCATTAGGGCACAACTATTTTGGGTGTTGTTTAATTGCATGCAGAGTTTTGTCATTGATAGAAGAATCTACATCTGAATTTGAAGAGGAAGAGTTTAAAAGGAGCTAGCTACACTTGGTTACAAGTTCATGTTTCTCAGAAACTGCGTTAGATAAGAATCTTACTAAAGGAAAAGTAGAGGGTTCAGTTAAGGTATATCTTAATTTTAGCATCTTCCAGCTGAGGTCATACAAAATATGAGAATTTATGCTAAACTAACTGATGGGCTATTAGCCTTTTAGCTAAAGAATGTTTGACTTTCTCACAGGCAATTCAAACTGCCTTACAAATGTTAGAAGGTGGAGGTGGATGCTGTATTGAGGATGCTAAAGCTATTTGTGAGCCAGGGATCCTCAATCAAATTTTTATTTGGCAGGTTTGAAGCAACATATCTCAAATTATCCTTTTTCTTTTTAGTGAGAAAATATAATTTACAGGTCTTAATTTATTTCAATGTGTCAACTTTTATGATTGTTCATTGGAATGTTATTTATGATGCCTACAAATTTCCTTCAGTTAAGCATGGCAAGTGCTTTCATTTTAAAGTTACTATCATACAGGGAGGACTTCTTGTTTCCACTTTGGGCAATTATTTTGACTACACAGAACCTATCTTGGTCACATCTTCCAATAAAATTAAATTGACTACTATTTGCTATGAATCGTGAATATACCTAACTTCAGGTGTGTTACGGTGGCCAACATATTGATCACCAATACTGCAACAACAACGCATTGTTGATATGATGGGGAACATAGTTGGATTTGTTTGATGATTTAGTGATTTGATGTCTTAGTAATTTTTTTAGGTCTATTCATGTCATTTGTATTTTGATCTTTATACTCAATAATCTCTAGGATTATTTTGATGTTGAACCTTTCACCTATTAAATTAAGTTGAGATTATTTGCCATCACACTCCAATTTCTATACTTCTCTCTCCCCCTTTCCCCTTGCCCTGCATCATGATGTGTTTGAGAAATAAAGTCATGTTCAGGAACCATTGTTTGGGGTCAGACTAACATTTAGTAGAGAGATAAAACTTGAAGACAATAAAATTTCTCCATCTAACACTAGAAAAGTAATAAAATGTGGACTTGGGAGGAGAAAATTCTAGTTTGCATTTCTTCTTGGTAAAACTACATAATACAAAGCCACATATACACAAAGGAGACCTCCAGGGAATAAAAGCCAATGAAACCTAACAAATGCAAGCTAATAAAGTTTCAAAGTCTTAACCAATACTTAGACTTACCTAGAGGTTTAACCAATGTGGTTCAATCTCTTTGCACAAGAGCAACCCAATTCCACTAAAAATAATCCCTTATCTTCGAATAATCTCTCTTAGAAATGAGAACATGCAACAACAACAAGCAGCCTTATCCCACTAGGTGAGGTTGGCTACATAGATTGTATGATGTCATTGCACTCTATCAACAACCAAATCTTCAGTTAGAAATGAGAACATAAAAGGAGAAAAACTCTCATAAAGATTAAATATACAAATGAAGCACTTGATGAAAAAGATGACAATACTAAATGAGAGTTCAACGTAATTCCTGTTGTCAGCACTTTAATAATGTTTCCATCTATTACAAAATGTTGTATTGTCTTGTGCAGTTTGTACTTATCCTTTATCTCATTCTTCCATATACTGAAACTAAAATTGTTTAGTATTCAATAATTTTGCGCTTTGTTTGTAGAAGTTTTGTAAAACATTTTAAAATTATTATCGTAAGAGTTTCATTTTGTGGGGCACATTTTCCTTCTATCAACAAAGTTTGAAAGTAGATTTTTATAAACCTCTGCAACATGGCTTTTTTGGAATATTCTCTATACTCTTAGTTCCACTATTCTTGCTTTCCTCATTAATTCGATTTATTTTTGCATTTGTATTTTCATTTAAAATAACACACAGTTTTAACTCAACCTATATTGTTCAATAGTTAAAGTCATAGGTTGCGCCTATCTTCTTTCCTTGTCTCTCTCTCTAGTGGTTTATTTAAAATAAGGGGAGAAACAATGTTTATAAGTTTGGTAGAGATATCTATCAGTTTGTAGTTTTTGCTATACGCTGTATGGCTCTCAACATTATGGATATTCTTATTAAGTTGTATCATAGACATCGTTGACTGTATATCTGTCAAAATGATTAGAGGCTTTTTGGACAGATAATTATAATACTTATTATTAGCTTGATTGCAAAGGTAGCTCAAGGTCTACCTAGCACCTTTTCTTCATTGGAAGAGATATACTTCTTTTGGGCGCCATTTTACAAAATTAGGCAAGCTTAATGAGGTAATACTTCTGAATTACTGACATCAGGAAGAAGATTTTTTGCGATCAATTGTTATCCCTTTTTTCTATAGAAAATCAGAACAGATGGCTGAAAATACCATCTTTTATAGGTCTTGAAGCAGTAGAGTAGAGTACGTATATTGAGGGGAGATGAGAACAAAGGTCAATCCCAATAAATCAGCAAGATTCAAATAGAAAATAATTCCTTGTGAAAGTTAACAAAAACCAAGAATCATAGGGCAGTATAATAGGAAACAATTAGCTAAATAGAGATCCAAGAAAGAATAAAGCCATTTGCATTCTATTATGACCATCCACAAATACTTCCAGAATCAGACGCCTTCAGCTATTTAAAGAAGAGATTGACACTAAAGGTCAAAACTTAAAATAAAATACATTACTTAGATTGCAATATATTGCACTGGTGCACAGTTAGAAATGACACTGAGAAGAAAGGAAAAGGGTTCCACTTTCAGACTCTAACGCAAAGGATAACAAAGGGCAGAGTTACAAACCACACATAAAGATGCTACTATCTCCACTGGACAGAATATAACAAGTTTGGCAATCAATCGAGAGGATGGCTCACTCTACTCTAATGGCTAAGCCTGATTCAAAGTTCTTCCTGCCTCTTTTGTGAAACCAAAGTGAGATTTATAGACCAAAAGTGACTTTTACAATCCCCAGTACAGAGACTTTGACTATAGTAGTTCTATATCAACCCTACTCTCTATTTCTTCAAAATAGCAAGTCAAAATTCTACCCAACAAAAAGTTCCTCTCCCTTAACATGTATTTTTGTAGATATTCAAAAGTGGTCCTAACACATTCAGTTCTCATATCTTAGCTATTCTTTGCTATGTCTAGTGAGATTCGTTTCCTGAATAGCCTCACTCCCCATGTGATGTCATTTATGAGCCTTGCAATGTTGTTGCCTATGAGATACTACTCCTGTAGCTTGACTTTGCACATCAGGGCATTGAATGCATCTTGATAGCTGCTTATGAGATACTACTCGTATAGCTTGATTTTCCAGGTGAGGTTAATGTTTTTCAACGGTAAAATTATGCAGACTATATATCCACTTTGTACATTTTTAGTAATTTTATTTTCTAAATTACCAATAATTTAATCCAAGTCTGAAATGGATGTTTCCAAGTAAGTTAGTGCATTTTGTCAGGTTAGTCTCTTGTTGACATGTCCAGTGCTGATTTCAACAGTTTCAGGTCTAATTTCAACATGTATAGTGAATATTTCAGGTTCTAGGTCCTTTGGGCTAACAGATTCTGGTGCAGTAGAAATAGGCTCTCAAAGGTTTGCTTGCCCTCAAAACTCTCCCCTTGAAAGGGCGTTTTTGGATGATAAGACTGATCCTTTAAAAAGGTAAACCTATGGACACAAAATACCACTTGAGAGTAGGAGAATAACATCTGTACCCCTTTTGAGTGGCTGAATAACCCAAGAAAATACATTTATGAGCCCTAGCATCAAGTTTATTCCTATAAGTTATGGACAAATGCAACACAGCAAAAAACCTTTTGAGGTGCAGTGTTAAGTAAAGGCATAGATAGAAATGCTTCAAACTATGGCATAAAAAACCATATCAGCTGGGTTAACCCAAAAATTGGTAACTCGGGGACCTGTCCAAGCCAACTGATGGTCAAACCCAGTTGGAATTTGACCCAGAGTAACCTGGGGGTTTACTTGGGTCACTTTTTTTCCTGAAAAATGCAAGATCCCTGGGAAAGAAGAAAATTTCAAGAAAAAGACAAAAGGTCAGGAAGAAGAGATGAAAAATAGTAGATGAGGAGATGTAAAAAAAAAACTTACTGTAAAAGAGAACTCCTAGAAAGTAATGTAAAAAGAATGAAATGAATAAACTTTTTAGGGTAGAAAGCATAAGGAAAGGAGATTAGGAGAATGATGCTTCAAGACGAGAGAGACATTGGAAAATAAAGAGAGCACTGAGTCAAGTGATCCAAATTGCAATGAAGGAAAAGGAAAATCTGAACTCTAAATTATAGCTCTGTTTGACATGTGTTGCTTGCAAGTTTGTATTTCTTCCTTTTTCTCATTTTTCTAAGATTGCCTCAAATGCCTAGGATCTCCTTTTACACAATATGCAGCATAATATTGCACATTCTTCCATGATCCCATTTGTCCATCCCCCAATATAATTATATATAAAAATATATAATATGAAGAGGAGGAGGGAAGCTGTCTGGTTCCTTTATTATGATATACTCCTTTGGTCATATTTATAGGACAGAAAGAGAAGATATTTTTTGGTAATAGGGCACTAAGAAAATTATTTTATTTAGATGTATAATTTTACCCTTCATTTATTAGTGTTAACTTTGTTTACATGTGGTATAATACATATTAAATAGGGATAAAGTTTAAAAGTTGTTGAATTTTAAATGAGAGTTAATGAATTTAAGGTTTTTCTTGATCTGTGTGAAAGATGTTGGAAGTGACTTATAAATAGGACCAGAGGAGTATACTCTATATATATATATATATATATATTACTTTTGTTATTTAATAGGATATTTTTAAAGATAAATATTTTTTATATAATAACAACAAAGCCTTATCCTATTAGATAAGGTCAGTCATATGGATTGTACGGTGCCATTCTTCTTTATCAACCAAAACTTTGGATAGATTGTTAATTTAAAAATCTCGTTCAAAAGTTATTGAGTGTTCTCTTTGTGCCTTTCATTACCCCTTTTCAAATTAATTTTTGATAATTAAATTTAATATTTTTGATATAAGTAAACAAAGAGAATAGACTAAATAGTAAATTATGAAATTCACTCGACACCCAATACATCAATGATTACCTTATTTATAGACCTCTTATGCTAATTGCCCAAACTACCCCTTTCACCCCTAATTCCCATGTAGGATAAGATTTTTTTCCCCCTCTAGGCCATAGGTTTCTAAGACTTCTAAAGAAAAACCATATGAAAACAAAATTAATGGACATTAAATACTCCAGCATGCTGTTGTATTCCTTCTGTCCAAAGGCCCATTGTGTTATGGAAAGTAAAGAAATAGGAGAGAGAAGAGGAAAGGGAAAATAGAGAAGCAAAGGAGACCAGGAGAAACCAAGCAACTTCAATCAAATTGCAAAACTATGTTGCGAAGGATAATGGGTACTTTTTTATAAGCAAAAGCCCTAATAGATTCATTAGCTATTATACTGGTTGAAATGCTAAGAATATTAGTTGACATTCTTAAAAGGATATGAAATTGATTTTGATCGTTCTACCAATTCAAACATCTAATTCTTTCCAATTATTAGACTTAAGTATTAGTTCTTTTAGATAATTTTCTAGTTTCAGATTTGTTTATAAAAGACTGATCCATAATTGTATATTGTATAAATATCTTAATAATCCTACAACATTAAAAAACTTCAGGTAAATATTGCTATACTAGCTAAATAAAATTAAGAAAGTTTAAGCGACAAAAAATTTAAAACATTCATATGTCAAATGCATCATCAAAGGATGTTGTTGTTGAAATACTTGAATGGTGGAAAGAATGATGAGTTATGAGTGTTGAAGTTTTAGAAGTTGATGCACTCCCACCTCTAAGATTGGTAGACAATGTCCCCATATTTTGACATTGATAAAAGAAATTTAACTTGCTCTTGAAATCTACATTGAGTTAATTATATTCAAATTAGAATTTAAATTATTATTTATTATTTCCTAAGCTCTATAGTAGTAGCTTATTTTAATATTGGATAATGTCCTTAAATATTTTAGAAGTATCCATGAAGGAGCTCCAAGCACCTGGAAGCTTCTTTTAGCTCTTATATGCCCTAAAAGTTTATTTTTATAATAAAAATTACCTTGGCCGTTATTTACCATTAGGTTTGATTAAGATAATGGTTCAGGGCAGAAATGCTACGAAATAAAACATCTAGGGCATATAAGATTAAAAGAAACAAAAAACTTCTCTGTGTTGAGTGCTCCCTCTTGGATACTTTCAGGGTATTTGAACACCTTATCCCTTTTAATAATATATTAAGTTTTGATTGAAAAAAAAAAAAGAAGGTTTAGAAGGGATGGCTCTCAGCCCTAACGAGCTAGCCCTTTTGATTCTAAGCCCTTAGGGCTAACCCGTTTAAGCTTAATCTCCTTTTGAACCCCTTAAAATACTAATTCGGCCCTTCACTTAAGCCTGCCTGATGGGGTTGGCCCATTTTGACGGCTCTACTTGTAGCTTCTTCAACATTTTATATTTGTGGTTTGAGACCACAGCAAAATTTGGGAATAACCCCAATAATACCATGTTCCCAATTCTTATCACACTATACAAAAGGAGGGCTTGGTTGAACTACCAGTAATGGTTTCATTTTCCTTATATCCTTAGCAAATTTGTATCTATGCTGTAGTTAAGGAGCATCTCGATCACGCTTGTTGCAAGGTTCTTGTGAACTGTTTTGGTGAACTTGTTTAAAGCTGGTAGTTCCTTCAATATTTGATTGAGTATCATCTTCTTTCTTTAAATGTGAATGGTTTTGGATCATTTCATGAATCTGGTTGGGTTCCTCTTTGGGCGCAATGCCCTTATCTCAATATGCTTCAAGCTCTTCTTGAATATTAGGTTCACCATCTTATCTGCCTTCTGAGCAGTCGCTGTTACAAATCCTGCTGCTATTGGCCACCAAATCAACAGAGGAGACCGGTTCAAATAGTTCTAGGTGAATGACAGTGAAAAATGGCTCATGGGAAAGGGGGCAGCGGGACATGGTGGCACCTCAGATGTTGTGACCTTCTATTCAATGTATATGAACTGAGACAATAACCGTGCCACCAGAATCCATTGTTTGTAGGGATAAAAGAAGAATATAGCCAAACAAGTAGATTTAAAAAAAAAAAAAAAACAACAACAACCACAAATTAAAGTAAGGCAGATCATCAGTAATTACTCTTTGAAGGTTCTTTTTCTTGAGCTATGCAGCATAAACAGACACCAAGGTTTATACTATTTGTTTTATTTTTCTTGATTTTGGCTTGTACTATGGCTTACCCACCATGGTTAGGTACAAGAATAGCAGTTACATATGTGTCAATACTTTTAGTTGTTATATAGAAATGATCTCATTCTATTTTTTCTTATGCAGGTTGTTGATAGGCTTCATTGGTATGTACAAAGTGGTGATACGGTAAGTTTTTATTCTTTATGCTTTATTTGGGTTCTGCCAATACACTACGTGCCACTAACTTTTTTTGTTTAGTCAATACATAATTGGTACTATTTTAATGAAGCTGATCGCAGTAATCCATGTATGCGGTTTTGATTTGTTACCATAAGTTTGTAGTTTGATCATCCGATAACTCAGCTCCATTTTCATGGTAATATTTAGTTTTCCCTGTCTTTGCTCTGTTGCCACTCCTGATTTCTTTTCCGTCTCAGAGAAGTCGAAATGCCTCAAGTCTTGTAGCAATTGTATCATACACACGTTCTACTGAAGTGTTTAGACTCAATATTGTTCAGTTTGTTCAAGTCATTAATTAACTTCTGTGAAGAACTGTAAATTCTTGTGGCTTATTAGAATAAAAACACGGGATTAAAGTCTCATAATATAACAATTGCGATGGTTTTCAAACACGGGGGCTTGTTCTTTGATGTCAATTTATCATTTTCTCTTACCAGAATGATCAAGTTTCAGTTAATTTCATTATTGCTTTACCATTTGCATTAATTTGTGCTCATCTGTACAACGTGGTATCCTTAGCAGATTGTAGACTTTTGCTGTGGTTCTAATGACTTCAGCTGTCTGATGATATCGAAACTTGAGCAGATGGGGAAAATCTGCTCATTTAAAAACTATGATATCTTCCAGGCTAAGGTTTGGCTTCTGTCCTATTTGTTCTTTTCCATACTAGCTTCTCTTGAAAATTGAAAATTGCCCATCTGTTGTTGAAAGTTCTCTCTCTCTATCTCTATCTCTCTCTCTCTGTCGCTGTGTGTGTGGGTAGCAAATTCTGAGGTCACTCCAAAGTTGTTGCATAGTTCTGTGCATTTTCTGTGGAGATAGTTTCTTATAGATAAAAAAAAAGAAAAAAAAAAGGAAAGAAAGAAGAATCCGTATCTTGAATGTTGCTGAAAAGTTTGAGTTATTTACATGTCCTTGCCTTGTTTGGATAGTAACCAACGGTAAGGCAGATGAATGTTGACTTACTTGAAAAATTACAACTTGTAAACTATGGTGGACATCAATGTTTAAATTAATGACTCGTTAATGGGTTTACATCTTATGTCTTGACCATTTGTCCGATATCTTAATAAGCCTATACGGCAAAAAGTTTCCCTTGATTTCTGTGTTGGCCTATCATGGACAACTTTACAAGTTGGATCTTTCGCTCTACTTTGTGGCTGCTTTCTGGTTCAAATTTAGACCCGAAAGATTCTTGTAGTGTTCATTTATACCATCAATGGATTTTATCTCCCTCGCTGTCCTTTTCCTTGCTTAACATGCTTTGTGTATTGCTAATAGTTTTTATGCTTGTAGAATGATTTCTGTTTTGAGAAAAGAGATTGGTTTAGCATCAATGTTAAGAATTGCCCAACGGTTCTCAACTGGTAAGACATAGTTTTGTCTTCTGACTTCCAAGTTTATATAAACATGAATGCCCTTTTATCCCCTATGACTTGTGACTTCCAAGTTTATATAAACCCGGAGGACGAATTTTCCATCTCCAAGGAAAACCATTCTGATCCCCTATTAGAAAAATTCCTAATTCTCCCTTTGGGGCTTCAACTCTCCATAAAGTTCTTGTTGACAAAAATTTTCTAAAGTTTTTTCTTTATTTAAAAAATGATTAATATCATTGATGGCCCTTATAGGTTGCATTCATTTTGGTTTGATCCCTGAAGTTTGAAACTCATGTTTTTTTGTCCCTCAAATTTATTCCATTTGAACTGTTGGTCCTTATATTTTTATAAGAACTTGGACTTAGAGTTAGCACCGTTAATTGTGCTTACGTGGCATTAACAACAGTTTCAAATTTCTAGAACCAAAACCAAAATGAGTGTAAACTATAAGGACCAATAATAGTATTAATCTTTAAAAAATTAACTTTTTGAAGATTATGTTTTTAAGAGGGATTTGAAGCAAGCAAGTAATGAATTGCATTTCTTCACTCAGTCATTTTATCTGCCTGGATCTGTTGACATACATAATAAACAAATGGAAGACTGGAACCGGAAGCCTCCCCCACTATACCTTTGGAGCCGCCCTGACTGGACGGCCCGGCACGCTAAAATAGTTCTGAGGCATGGCCACATCAAGAGGCAAGATGCAATGCGTGTAACAGGATATCATGTAAAGAACTACCTCATGGAGGATAATCATGACTGTTATCAGCACTGCTCTGGCTTACATGCACCTGATGATCTCTGCACCATATTGGATGGTATTCCGGAAGATAATGGCGATGCTATGCCTGATTGTGCAAGAGACAATGATGAGCTTTTTCCTCCAAGAAATTAAATTGGCATGATGGGTTACCTTGTGAAGCCAAGGAAATGAGCATGGATATGAAATTATCAACTCCGTAGTTTGTGTCTGCACTAATATATGCTCAAAATGCTTTATGGGTGTTAAAAACAATGATCTGAGAATTTTATGACTTGGTCGTGTAATTAGATGGCGAGCGTTTAGTACAAATACTAGATTAACTACTGTCTTTTCTTATGGTATAAGTCTGACCCTGAGGAGTACTTGTATACTTTGCTTGCATCTCATTAGATGGCTCTGTTGGTAATCTTCCATGAGTAGTTTCATTTCGGAGAAACTTTATCTCATTAATGCGGGTAAGCTGTGTGTGGGGTGGGTGATATTGCTCACATGAATATTTTCAGGCCAAATTATACAAAAAGCCTCAGAACTTTTTGTAAATTGCACATAACATTCTTGATATTTGAAAGTTTAAACTTAATCCCCTAACATTTTAATTTTTTACCATGGACTTTTACCATAGATTTTTTGCAATTAAATTGCCATTATCTTTATCTTTATTCTTTTTAATAAAAATTGTCACGTCATATCAATAGAAGACACATGACATCTTATGTAAGCTATTAATTTTATAAAAATTCTTTGAACTCTAGACAGATTATATATAACCCCCTAGACGTTTCAAAATTTAAATTTAATATTCTAAATTTTTTTTGTGGGGATGTTTATGTAACTGACTTAAAGTTGAGGAAATTTTATAAAATCATTCATATATAAGATGCCATGTAAGATGCTACGTGTTTTCTATTGATATGACGTGGCAATTTCTGTCAAAAAAATAGCAGTCACGTAACGACCAGTGATTAGAAAAAGAAAAGGTTAGGGGTTGTTTTTTTTTTTTTTTGGCCAATGGGGGGGTTAAATTTAAACTTTTAAACGTGGGAGAGATTATATATAATTAGTCCAAAGTTTTGTATGATTTAAGTTTGTTTTAGTTACTAAAAGGGTTCTCATATGATTTAGACATGCAGTTATATATTCAATTTAATCCTCCAATAATGAAATAGCCAATGCTGACTAATCATTTTATCTTTATCTAAAATTAAATAATTATCTCTTAATATTATGTAATCTATAAATTCTACTAAAATTGTAAAGTTGTGCGTATAAATAGATGACATCATGGATTTAATACCTTGAATGGAATGGAAAATACTCTCTTTTCTCTAATTCTCTTCTCTTCTTCTCTACTCTTTCATTACTTCTATAAGATGTAATCAGCACAAAACTCTAACAAAGGTACGCATGACATATCTTTGATCCTCAACATAATTTTAGAGCCTCATCTTTATGATTTTTTTAGAGTATCCGAAAATATCTTGAGTATCATATATATGGTGTTTCGGAATATCCATATCTGTATTTGATCTATCTAGGATAATTTAAGCCGTTATATGAAATTAAAAGGATTCTTTATCATTGTTTTAGCCATCGGGTTTCATGGCTAAGATTGGATATTATTATTACTTTATATTTTTGCATTATAAGTTAATTTTGATATGAATATTATACCTTTCAAATTAACTGTGATGTGAGAAATTTATTTTTATCTATTCCTTGGTGACCTGACATCATTGTCTTCAATGAAACTTGAAGTTCCAATCGATACTTATACATTACTCGATGACTTGACATCAATAATTTTGATGAAAATTGAAGTTCCAATCAATATTTACGGTTTGTAGTCTCCCTAAAGGATTATTGTTGAAGTCATGGTTGAGATCAATAATAAATTTATTCATATAAATTTGATTCTCTATCTCCTTGAAATTAAATGACTAGAAGCCATATAACTTTGATTTTTATCTTCTTGAGATTAAATGGCCATGAGTTATATAGTTTTGATTTGATATCTTATGGCTAGAAGCCATATAGAGATATATATATATATATATCTATTTGATTCTCTATTTTATTAAATGGCCTAAAACCATATATATTCAATTTTTTATCTTATTAAATAATTAGAAGTCATATGATTTTCTATCTTATGGCCATAAGTCATATAAGTTTGACTTTCTATCTTATGGGTAGAAGCCATATATCTTTGATTTTCAATTTTGAAACTAAATGGCTAAAAGCCATATAACTTTGATTTTTTATCTTATGACCAGAAGTAACATATCTTTGATTTGCTGTTTCAAAATTAAATGGTAGAAGCTATATAACTTTAAATTTCTATCTTATGATCAGAAGCCACATCTTTTTTTATTTTCTATTTTGAAATGATGGCTAGAAGCCATGTATCTTTAATTTTTTATCTTACTAAATGGTTAGAAGCCATATAGTTTTGATTCTGAGAAGGATCATCATGTGATTTGTTTATAAAAAAAATTTATAATAATTAGATTTTTTGAAAATCATAAATAATGTAACTCAAAAGGTTGATGGCTCAAATATCTTACATTCTGGATTGGTATGTTTGTTGATGAGATTCTTGTCCATTACATAAAGTAATTAGCTAGTAGCTATGTTAATCTTTATAACTCCAAACTATTGAGAGGGAACATCCCTTGCAATGGAATTTATATGATGTACAAGAACTTACATTTTCTCCTTATTTTATATTTTATTAATTTAAAGTTTAAATTTATTCTTATATGTTTTTTATATTCAATTTGATATCTATTAATATTATAATTACATATTATTAATGGCCAACAACCATTATATTCATGTTATTGAATAGTAAGAAAAGAATAACCTGTGACACTTCAATGACTTGATTATAAATACTAAAGCCCTAAAAGCTTGTAGTTCAAAAATCAAATGCTATAGATGATCTTTAAAAAATATATTGACTATACATAGTCTTAGAAGCTAATGACTTATAAGTATTAAAGCCCTAAAAGCTTATGATTCAATCTTTATAACTATGTAGTTTGATTTTTAGTCCTTATAGATCTCTTCGAATTTCTATTGAATTTATAAATTCATCAAATAGGTTTTGAAATGCTGCAAGATACATATATAAGGAGTAATATTTTTCAATAATGAAATATTGAGAAAATATGTACGTGGTGGAAAAGCATAGAAGAAGTAAAGTATGTCATATAGTGAAAGAACAATATATGTTAGGTCTTGAAGAACTATATATGCCATGTTCTGAAGAACTATATGTAACAAAAAAAAATTGATATAATTCTAAAAGAAATAGTAACAAAAATTGATATGTGAATTAAGAAGCATTTGGATTAGAAGTTTATTAACAATTGAGAATAATATTACAATAAACCAGAAATTTATGCGTGTATAGTTTGGCGTCATCGGTTAGATTATCTTGGATCATAATGATACAAAATACTATGAAGAATATGCATTGACATTTATTAAAGAATCGAGAGATTCTTTCTAAATGGTACATGATTTAAGAATCATTATGTGTTGCTCGTTATTAAAAAGAATTAAATAAGAGAACATCACTAGCTATGCTTAAAAACAAACCCATGCAAATTTATAATGTATCAAGTTTACATATGGGCCTATTTTGACACCATGTGGATCAAATTAATACCTTATGAATGAAAGATGTATCCATAAAATGATTACATGGGTGTTTATGATTAACTTGCAGCCTAAAGTTTGCAAATATGTTCAAATAATTGCATTGAGTGCATAAATCCCAAATTATGCAACCAATACGGTTCTCGTCAAAATTGCTTGTGATTATTCTTCAAGTTGTATACTATTATATGTTTAGTAAAAGCCTTCATAAGTAATTAGATCAAAACTTATGAGAACAAGATTCCCATTTTTGTGTTAGGATAATTGATTTTGCATATTTCCGCATATAAATGCATCAAGCTAACAATATAATGTATTGTGAATTCTCTCATTATAATTAGCTTTTGGTCAAGAGCCAGACATTTTCAATCTTAGAATATATAATATCTATTATTTCACCATAATAAAGCATGTAAATGGATAATAAAAGAACGTTAGGATCAATATTGAATAAGAACCTCCTTTTTATTTGTTTCTAAATGAAAACAAAGGATATTTTTAAAGAAAAATTATGAATTTAGGAGACTTGTGTTGCATGATTAGTGGATTGTCATTTGATAAAGTTTTTCCAACATGACGGAAAAAATGAGTACCTGAAAAAGAGAACACATAGAATTCATTTTTACTATCAAAGGTAAGTCCTCAAATATAATAGTATGAATCAGAAGTTCATAAAATATTGCTAAATATTTGTTAGATGAAATTACTAACATAAACGAGAATTCTTAATTCTTATGTTCCAATGAAAGGAGCTCATATCAATATAAATGAAAATAAAATATGCCTAAAGCATGAGAAAATGATAGATTCTAAAAGAAAAGAAAAGGAAGCATATAATCAAGATAATTATATTAATGAGGCAAGAATTGCAAAAAAAAAAAAAAAAGCTAAGGCATAACTACTTGACCCTTGAAGAGGTTCAGTACTTGAAAGCAATAAAGAAATCTTGATATACTATATCATAAAAGAAAAGTAACTGAAAAAGAATAAAATTGTTGACAATAATTTTAGTAACAATGTCACATGATCAAATGAGTATTTAATATACAAATCTATCATGAGATAAAAACAGAAAGACGGTTGGCCAACAAAAAAGAAAAGGCATATCATACAATATTATAATGTAAATGAGTGTATTTCTAGCCTAAACTTGAAGTGTAATGTTAGTATTATGTCAATGGGCATTTGCACAAGGAAAACGAAATGTAGCCTTGCAGTAGATTAAATTACGTCTTATCGATTTGGCAATTTGGCAATGAATGAAAATGTTTCATATGCATCTAGAGAATATAATTATAACATATGACTCTCTATATTGTGAAATTATATGTGAATATCAAAAGGATTCAAAAACCTGTATAAATTCAAAACAATCTAATACATAAATAGACTTGGATCCTAATATATGAAAGTCCCTAAAGCATTCAAGTATTTAAAAGCATACAATTATGTTTTTAAGAACATTACTCAATCTCTATGTGAATGTGTATGTGATATAATTGACTTAGTAAATATCAGTTGAAGAAATGACATAAAAATATTCCAAATTGCCCTCGTATGAAAGGATATAGAAATCAGTTTGTTATTATTACTATTTATGTTGATGATATAAATAACATCG